ACCATCACCATTCCAGCGTTTGAAGAAGAGTCTCTCCAAAGCAGTTTGGATCAAATGGCTCTTTTTGCTGTTGGTGAGGCTCATACAGGTTGTATCCCTTCTGCTTCTGTGGATCTGTTCTGCCTGCTCTTGGAAGAGGAAACTGACATTGCTATGAAGTGTCTATGAAAATATTATGAGGAAGCACTTGTCCCACTCAGAAAGTCCAGTCTTGCTCCAAGAACCAGATCGCATGGTTTTATACCCTAAGGCAGCATAAAGGCTTTTCCAACCAGACTATCTGCCTTCATATGAGGAGGACGCATCGCAGGCCACCCTAGTGACAAAGACAGTGCCTTCCTCCAGTCTATTTTATGATTGTCCACTAGATGGCAATACTGCATGAACTTCGACACTAACTGAACACTGTTTATTTAAGCAGCCTGACATTTCAATTATAAAGAATCATAAGCAACCTTTCCATTTTAATATCCAATTCCAGTTGTATGCATGGGTCACTTCACTATAAGATACAGTGAGATTTAAGTTTCTAGTTATTTCAAAGACCGGAGCTTTGGAACTTCTGCTATTAATGGGAAGTGTTATTGAAATTCAGCTTTCTTCAATAGGGAAACGTAAGTGTATGCCATGATTTGGTCTTTGCACAATAGAAAGAACTACAGTGCCTTATTCCATCTCTTGTAAAACACATTGCAACACTCTGTGGTGGGGTTTTGTTTTTTTGGGGGGGTGGTTTAACCAATCTGAGTCTGGGGGAAAGGCAAAACACAACATTTATTAACATCTCACATTTGCACTTCTGTGCCCTCTTAATCCTTTCTTATAATTACTCAGTGGATTTTCTGCTCCTGCCGGTGGCTAACTTGGATTGGTTAGGGACTTGCAGTTGAGACTCAATCTGATGTGTCCGGAAGCTGCTATAAAAGAGAGGCTCCCCCTTGCTCAGACAGTGGGTGCTGCTTAGGACACCTCCTCCAGATCTGTACAAGCGGCAGAAAAAAGGTGTCTAAGAGTGACTTAAGCAGGACCAGACGACCCATGAGATAAGGAGAGGCAACGGCCTCAGACAGCAGGATCGCCCAGGCAGTGTATCCTGATGTTCATCTTTCTCTGCCCCCCGCCCTGCTTGTTCTTGTATAGATCTTCCCTCACCCCTTCTTCCCTGGCATCAGTCTGGGGTCCTCCTCAGGCGCCAAAATGTCTTGGTCCAGTCCTGTGCTTGCGCACCTTTCACAGCTGCTTTTCAAGGGTTCTGGTTCTAATTCTAGATGCGATCTCACCAGCTCCTTGTGATGCTGGCAGAGAAGCTGCCTTTCTCAGCGACAGAGGCAGTCACACTTACGCATGATCACCTGTGCAGTTTCTGCCACTGCTGCTCTCACTGTTGTCTGGCCTGCTTCGTGACACATGAACCAAGCTCGCTCAGCTCCAGACGCTTGGAATTGCCCGTGTTCTCGCTTGCCCTGTTTTGCACAAAATTGATTTGGCTCGTGCTCCTGTCTGAGCATGTTGGGAATATGTGTTACTAGCACCGGAGTGCCAAAGTAGAAAATGGTACCACAGCGATTTCATCGCCGATTTCATCCCAGATTTCAATGGAAAATTGAATATACAGTTCTGACTGAATTTATAGACCTATCTCACCTTGTCATTTGATTTGCCCTTTCTTACAAAGGTTGGTTGGGGCTCCCTCCAATCACAACGGGAGATGGCTCCTCCTCAGGCTCTGCTTTGTGAAACATGATCCTTCTAACCTTTTGAAGCGAGGAGTGCCTGGCACTTGCAGGGTGAGATTATTTCAGCATAATTAAGAAAACTTGTCAGCGTGAGCCTGGCTGCTGGCTGCAGCCTGCAGCCTATGGGACTAAGCAAGCATGTCCTTGGCATCTAGGAAGTCCAGATGTCTTTATCTTCTTGGGCAATGAGTTAGATTCTGTCCAGATGGTGTCTTGATTGCTTGAAACTCAATTGATTGAATTAGTGGAGCTGCTATCTGTTCGGTAGCTTCGATGCTCAGGACTCCTATCCATTGTCATCGCATTAGACTTCGCTTGCCAAGTGCCTGGTGGGAGGGCAGATCACTAACTAACAACTCTGCAGCATTTCTAAGTGTGCGTATTTAACAACCGAGCCCTCGCCCGGAGAACGCCTTCATATGGTTCCTGCTGACCTTGATGTGGATGGGCAGATACATCTGGTGCTCGTGAAACAGGAGGCTCTCGTTGCCTGCTTTGCATTTCAGCCTCATTTAACCACATCCTCTGCACAAAACCCACAGCGCCGTGGCAGCACCTGCTATCAGGCCGCCACGCCAGGGATCCAATCGACAGCCACCAGACTATCAGGCATTTACAGCAACACTGCAGGAAGCATCTTTCAAGGATCGCAGACCAGAACTTGCCTTTTGGCCTTGCAGTCAGGTTCTGTTTCTCTCAAGAGTTACAGAGCACAGAATTAAATGTCCCAGCAGTCAGATTACATTTCTTGTCGGAACAGGAGTAGTAAAGAACCGGTGGGCACAGACAAAAAGTCATTAATGCCCTCATTTCCCTTCTTACTGAAGCAGGAGGAGTTAGTGGAAAGAGCTCTCAGTCATAGACAAAGCATTAGCCACGGTCACATTGAACTGTGGCAGGCGGGGGGGGGCATACTGAGAAGAGGAGGAGGTTAAAGAAGAATTTGCACCTTGCTAGATCACACTATGAATACTTACGCCACAGATTGCTGAGAGAGATTGGGGGGAAAATAAAGAAGCAGGGAGGAGAGACTCTTTCTTGACCAAAACCTATCTTAAGCATATTGATTTTTAACAAAAGCATTCGATATCAGCCTCGGAGAAAGCTGGTGCAGCATTGGGAGAAGCAGACAAATTAATCTATGCAATAAGATGTTTTTGTTTTTTTATGATGTAAGAATATGCCCACTAGGATTAGACAGGCGCTTCAGTAAATGGTCTGATTTAGTGACTGCAGCAAGGCAAGGCTATTGGCAATCCCATTCCTCGGAGTAATTGAATGGGATATGAAGTGGGCAACACAAAGCACCAAGGAGAGTGTAAAATGGGATAATGGGAGGAAAACTAAGAGACCTTGAACTTACTGATAAAATCACTTTGTTTTAAGTGCATCACGGACTGAAATGAGAATATGCCCTTGCCACAAGGGGACGAACAAAAGTTGGATTGAGAACGGAAACTGCTAAAACAAAATAGGTAATCTGTAGAAGACACAGAAGGGCACCTGAGATGGGGAGGAGGGAAGAGGCATTGCAATGCACTATTTGTGTGCACGCTGAGAAAAGGAGGCCTGGTACCTTTTGGAATAGGGGGAAATCTATGTAGGTGGCTGCACATCTTCTCACCCCTGCATATTTACAGTTCCCCATGCTATCCAGATACTAAAGATACAGCATCCTGGTTCTCCTTCACACATCAGCCCTGTTCACAAGAGCAAAACAGTCCTAAAGGAAACAGGCTTTGTGTGCAGTAGGAGGTGATTTTCTGTCTTGAGATTCACCCTGTCTTGAGATTCCTATATCAAGGAAATAAACTATCCAACTTTTAGAAGACACCTGAAGGCAGCCCTGTTTAGGGAAGTTTTTTATGTTTGAAGTTTTATTCTGTTTTTAATGTTCTGTTGAAAGTTGCCCAGAGTGGCTGAGGAAACCCAGCCATATGGGCGGGGCAGAAATAATAAATTTATTCTTATTCTTGCTCTTATTCTTACTCCCTTTTCCATAAACTGCTTTGAACTAGTCCTGTGGAAGAACATATACATCCTTGAGGTGCCCCAATACAGTTATTAGCCCAAAATCAAGTAAAAAAAAAGCTTGGTGTACTTAGGAAGTGGAACAAAGATGTCCTGCTCTGCTCCATGTGCCCCTCCCCCATTGCCTCTCATGAACATGAGCTTGCCCATCCATTTAGGTCATTGTGAGGGTCCCTCATGCATCCACTACCACAAGGGGCTCCATGGGCACAGCCATTTTATTTCAGTCGTACTGCCCAAATTGTGGGATACCCTGCACTGAGGGACCTATTTTGGCTTCCATCTTGGAAGCTTTTTGATCCCACCTGAAACCTGCTTTAAAAAAAAAAAAAAAAAAAAAAAAGTTGTCAATAAGCCTATTGCCTGGATGGTGTCTGATATCATGGCTTGCTTTTGAAATTGTTGTATTCAATTGTTTTTAATAATTGAATTGTAAATCACTTTATTAAGCAGCTCATGTGAGCTGCAAAAACAGGTATAAAAGATTCAAAAGAAACACACACACACACACACACACACACACACACACACACACAATAAATACAAAACAAAACAATATGCCGCAACAGTAATGGACCACGCATAGCAAAATGGGAAGTGAACTGGCTGGGCAGCGTTTGGTCTGGGGTTGGTTCCCAGCAGTGGGATGAGATGACAAGTCTCCTTACATTGGTACTGGAATACTTGTCCTCAATCCTTTGAGTCACTGTTTCAGCACATCATCCCCCACAGAATCAGTGCTGGGCTGTTTTGGGGGTCCCTCACATGGCTGCACCCAACTTCAGATTTTTAAAAAATGGTTCTTGTGTTTAAAAAAATGTTCAGAGCCTGTGGATACCTCCCTCTTGTGTAAGGAAGGTGCCATTTTGGCAGTGTAATCGACAGCCGTAACCCCTAAATACTGGGGAAAGAAGAATGTTCCCAGCAAACGACACACATTTGATTTGGAAGGCTTCTGTGGCACCTAATTTGTTTCACTTGGAACATTCCTCTGATGAAGCAAGCAGGGCTTTTTTTCAGCCGGAACTCAGTTTTGGCACCTCTCAGGTAGGCACCATTGCCATTATAAGAGAACAAGGTGAGTTCTGGCCCCTCTTTTTTAAAAAAGAAAAGAAAAGAAAAATAGCACTGACACCAAGTTAACCTCAAAGACCAAACCCTCTTTTCACGTGCCTATCTCCTGACATTTAATGCAGAAGTGGGCAGACTGATGCAAGGATTTAAGTGTGGGGCAGAAAAAAGGAACCGAAAAGGTTGGCTGCAGGGCCCGTAAATGACTAGGCTTCAAGAGGAAACTTCTTTTTAGCTGTGACGGCCGTTTTGTCTCTCACATCTCCAGTTTAACAAAGCTTTCTAAACCCCCACTCTGGAAAATTATTTTTCATCTGACTTCCATTACCGCAGCTCGTCTGTGTGGAGAATCTAATAAACCCTCCTAATGGCCTGGTGCACGTTCTGCTGGGTTCTGATGGGCCTTTTAGATGTTAGCTGTGAAGTAACCAAGCCAGCAGATATGATGTGCACTGAGGTGAGTGATAACTTGTTTGTCTCTCTATTCGGGGAAAAGCGTCTTCAAGAGAGAATCAATAATTAATCTGTGGCAGTGAATACTTGCATGCTAACATCAGGTTACTTCAAAGGGCTATGAAATTTGCGGTTGGTGGGGCAAAATTATCAGGGACAATGCTGTGCCTTCGGAGCACATTCGCTAAAACCGGCCTCAGGCAGGAAAAATTTCTAGACCTCGAGGATCCTTTCTCGCTGAAAAGGCAAACCTTAAATTAGCAGCGATAATCCTGTGCCATTTTAGCGTGGGACTTAATAGGGACAGTCCTATGCGTATCTACTTGGAAATCTATTTCTCGTTGTTTTAATGGAGTTTATTCTCTTGTACTCGCAATTTTAGCCTTATAGCTATGCATTTTCACTGTGTTCAGTAGCACAGTGCTCTCTGGTGCAGAGCAAGTTTATTTAGGATTCCAACCTATGAATGCAATCCTATATACAGTTCATAGGAGCCAACTCCAGGGGGCCACAGGTGCTTGGGCAACCACAATAATATAATTGGGGGAGGGGACTGGGCGCCCACAAAGTCAATGAGAAAAGACGGCATGAGGTGGCGGCACTGCCTGTGAGAGAGAAGCAGTTCAGTTCCTCCCTCAGCATCCAGGAGGCGAGGCACCCTTTAATGGGGAGGGGGCTGGGATGCAGAGGCAGAGTCTCTCTGCCTCCAAGTCTGAGCCCCTCCCCACAGAAAAGGGTGGCTTGCTGCAGTGGCAGAGCTTCATGCTCCAGCACCGGGGACGGAGAGCAGGTGAGGGCGTGGGGCACGTCCTGGGGGCATGGCAGCCAGTGCAGGGGGGGGAGCCGGAATGGCACCCCACCGGGATCGTGGTGCCAGGGGGCGATGCACTCCCCGCCCCCTTCCTCCGCCAGTGCCTTGCTTGCTGCAGAGAGGAGGAAGAGAAGGTGCTGTGCCACCGCCCACCACAACTATGTGCAGGCATGTAATATCCACGTTGTGGGGGTGGGCACCCACAATCCTGAGGGCGAGATGGCGCCCCTGATACAGTAATTGGGAGTAAGCCCCTTGCTGCCTATTGCACCAAAGATTTAAGCACATCTCCTGCAAGGAGGTCATACAGTGCAATATGTCAATAAGCAAAAGGACCAGTCTGCAAAATCTTGTCCTGAATTGTGTCTAAGAAGTTTTAAACGGACATGTAGACATGAGAGGCAATGACAGAGAACCCATTTTTGAGGTAGTGCACACATTTTGCAGACTGTGCGTACACATGGACGTTTTACTAGATGTTTTCTGGAACCAGAGGGGGTTGTAATGAAACAGACCACTGGTGCCTTTAATCTGTTTGCAGCAGGGCTTCCGAACAGGTGCTTTGTTTTATAAGCAGTTTAAATGTACCTAATTTCTGTAGAACTAGACCTTTTTTTTTTGCACACTTTATGCTGCAAGCAGTAACATCCTTGATAGATGCAGCAGAGGAGACGAGTCACAGTTACACAAGTAGGTAGGTTAATATTTCTTTCAGCTTTTCACCTTATCAAAGAACTACCTTTGCAAAAGCAATACTTGATGAGTGTATTTGAATGTGCTTTCAGAATTTGTTAAAAGAGGCGGCATTTTCTATACAGTACCGGGGGGGAAATGTCCCCCCTCCACTAGATAAAATAGCTACAGACTAAAAGGAGCACTAATATTTGCATTTAACTTCCCCTTTTAATTATTCTAATAATTTTTCTCACTTTAATGTTTTAACCTGTTGCAATAGTTGTCATCTGGCACATATCCCACTCCAGTTTCAAGGATAATTAGGAGTAACAGAACTAAGAATGGCCTCTGCATAGGGCCAAACTAGAATTGATCTTAATCACAATATTAGCATCCGCATAGGCTTTAAAAAAGAGAGAAAGAATATCAATCACTGGGAGCCTATCTGGACTAAGACTGTGGTGTTGTGCAGCTTCAAGTGTTTATTCACACCATGGTCCCACTCTGAATCTGTATTCAGGTCCTTTATAGATCTAACAACAATAACAGCAGCTTTTAGCACACAAAGTTCAATACTAGAATTTGCAGTCCAACACATGGCCCAAGAGCCATGAGACCAGGGCAGTCCAACACATGGCCCAAGAGCCACATGTGGCCCTCAAGGCCTTTTTTGGCACCCCTCGGAAACAATTGATGGCCCCACTTGTTGTAATCTCATTGCTAAGCAACAACATGCAGGGCTCAGTGGAGGCCAGCCAACCAACAAGAGTCGTCTCTGAGGTGTACTTGCCTTGCGGCAGAGTCAGCATCCGAAGTCAGGTCCAGTCCTAGGGTTGGGTGAACAGCAACCCATGTGGTCAGATGGTCTGGGGTCAGAAAATCCAAAGATCATGGGGTCAAGGGTCAAGACGAGCAGAAAGCAGCAATATAGGACCAGGAACTACAAGTGTTGTTACCAGCCTCTGACTGCTGTTGGAAGCTGTGCTTAAGAAGGCTGAAGCCAGCTGGTTCTTATCAGTGCCTTCTCCTCTGAGTCCTTGAAGGCTGATCAGCTGCAGGTGGAGTCACTCCCCCTTCAGGCTGCTGTTCAGTAGGTGAAGCTGGCTCCTGGCCCATGACACCATCCAGCCCTCGCACTGTGTTCCCAAAGCTGCGTAAGTGAGGTGCTGGGCTTTGGGAAGGAGGTGTGAGGGCTCTAACAGGGTCCTAACAAGGTCCTCCAGCCTCCTTTGCAAATTCTAGTTAGTGCTTTTTCAGCTTTGGGGAGGTGGGAGGGCCCTGCCAGAGGCTCACACCTGCTTCCCAAAGCCTGGTGCCTTGCTTATCCAGCTTTGGGAAGACAGCTCAAGGGCTGGCGGGTGGGTGGGGGTCAAATTTTGGCCTTGCTCCCTGCAATGCAACAAGGCAGTGTGTGGCCACAGGTTCTGTATCCAACTACTTTTTGTGACCCACTTGGTCTGCCCTGATTTTGACAGCGCCAGTCACATAGCATTATATTGACTCTAATATCTTATGTCGTCTGCTGGTGTAGTCTCTTCCCCTCCCCCATATACAGAGTTTCAGAAAGAAGAGTCCATATCAAATTAAAAATGACACTCAAAGCACAACCCTATACTTTTCTATTCAGGAATCCCATTGCAGCCTCAGTCATTTGAAAGACTCTCCCCCTCCCACTTTTTTTAAGCCAATACAGCTGTGAAAAGCTGCAGCTTGGACTGGACATTTTGGGAGAGGGTCCCTCTCATTACTTATCTGCAGGGCAGTTTTCTTACAGATATGAATAAAGCCTGTATCACCTTAGATAAAATATGAGCTGGCTTGAAGGTGCCAAAAGCAGGGTCCAGAATGTGAGGGGAAATCCCCTCAGGTTTGCCTTCCTTTTATAGTTCTCAAAATTTGTAAGTTGTCTGACAATTAAAGAAGTCACCAGCATCGCCTGAACTATTGCCTTTGATTTCAGATACAAACACCAGAGTTTCTGAAAACTACAAAAGACCCTTGCTGGTACTATTACTACAATAACAAAATAATTTGTTGCACAATGCTTATACACTTCACCTTCCATGAAAAAATAAAAAGGAGATAGCATGTCAGATTCCCAGGCAGAGTCCATTTTTTACACTGGTACAGATTCAGGCCAGTACAGAGATGGGACAATATTAGAAGTTTCAAAAGGAATTTGTTTATTTATTTACAAACTCCAATTACAAGAGATTGCATTGTGCCAACAGAGATGCACACACCTCTGTTGCATTAATGCATCTCTGTGCATCAAAGTGTGTGGATCCATAAAACTGTGTGTAATTTTTACAGCTTATTGCTAACAGAAGTTACAGTTGTGAAGATTTGGGACTGAAAGAGATTCCTGAGCAACTACCTAACATAACCCAAGTCCTTGATTTCAGCTTCAACTTCCTGCATTCCCTTCAGCAATCAACACTCAGCAAGCTGAAAGATCTGGTATATTTAGACTTAACAAGGTATGCTAGATCTTTGTCCTCACCTCTTTTTGTGCAAATTGGGACTTTCACTTCAACTTTTCAAGCAAGTGGTAACTGTGGTTACAGCCAAGAGATCTTTAAGCCTCAAAGCTAGAACTCTCATCTACCCAAACCTGCTCCCACAAGTCATTGCACTGTGAATCGATACTTGTTAGAAAATTTTGTAGTTGTGGTAAACTGACGCCAGCCTTTAGACAGTCACAACCTGTGCAGTGCTATTACCTAACGCTATGCTATGTGCAGCCTAGAACTGACACCTAAAACTGCTGCCTGAAGTCCTATAATGCTATGCAAAATCACCTGAAAGGCAAAACCAGACCCTGCCAAGGCACACATATTACAAGACCAGAAATTCATAGAACTTGCTTCATTACCCTGCAGTAGTGTATTGAAAGAAGTCCTATATGACAAACTCTGGGTGCATATTTTGTTTCTTGACATCTATATAAACTGACTGACCTATCTTGCAAGGAAAGAGGAAATAGGAGAAACCACAATATGGCCAGTGTCAGGAAATGGCACTGGTTTCTTCTAGGGAAATAGCAGTATTACTCACTATATAGCTCCTAAATCAGGCTGAACCCTCCTCTTACATCTCTGCTTGGTTTGCTTGCTGGGGTGAGGATTAAGCTCCCCCCCCCGCTACACAGGCACTAATGGCTCATGCTTGAACAAACAGCAAACATACAAAACTTACTGCCCTGTACCTGCACACAGAATTCTGTTTTTCATACAAATTGTGCTGCCAAAACCAAATGAAGAGGCAAGGAGAACAAACGCCTCAATTTCAGAGAATAGCTGAGGAGTGTGAAAAGCTGCTCTTCAACAAAATTGCAAAAGCAAATGCTTTGGCACACTGGTATACCCTCCCGTGTTATATGACTTACAAGGATTTATGCAAGTGGGTGCATTGGAATGTTCCTGGAACATAGTGCATGGCTACAAAAAGGTACAGCGGTTCATGCTCAGCCTGAAATTAGCAGAGACCCTCATTGATTAAAAACAGACACACAACTTGGGTACCCATCCATGCACATCTTTTTCATTGGAATTTCTCCCTCCCCTTCACACCCTCCCCAGATCTGCTCCAGAGGGTTTGGGAACCCCTAGAACAGATTTAGGGCACACATGGTGGGAGGAAGAGAAAATGTTTCATTGTGCAAAGATAAATGACTGTGCTGACTGAATGAGAGACAATGAATTGCAGTGTTAATGTTCACTGCCTATTTAGGTTGGTGCAAAATATGATCCCATTTACAGCTGTGCCAGTTGTATTGTTCTCCTCTCATTAAAAATGTAAAAAGCAGGAAATCCATTTTTATTGTTTCCGTAGGTGTATATTAATAAGATAAGCAAATGCAGTTGCGGTGATTCAATGCTAGACTTGTGTGTGTGTGTTTTGTTTTTTAAGGTGTCAAATTAACTGGGTATATGAGGATGTCTTCGGAAACAACGCTCACCTGGAGACAATCATCTTGACTGGAAACAATCTTCTGTTTCTGGCAGACAGAGCATTCGCTGGACCTCACTCTCTGAAACACCTTGACCTAACGCAAACAGGACTCAGTAGTTTATCATCCATCCCAATGCAGGACCTGGGTAACTTGGAGACACTGATTCTAAAAGACAACTACATCCAATCACTAGAGCTCCCACCACATTTTCCAACGAGGAACCTCAAATATTTGGATTTTCAGATGAACATAATACAAAGAATATCAGCTGAAGACATAAGGGTATTAAAGCGAGTCAGCAATCTGACTCTCATTCTTGCAGACAACGATATTATGCACATTGAGACCAAGGCTTTCAGTTCCATTTTTTTCTATACTTTGGATTTTGGCCATTGTGTTAATGTTTCGGTGATCCTGGAAGGGCTGCAGGATGCCAGTACTGTTGCTCTTCGACTTGGGAATTCTTTGGATAGACATGCCCTTCCCATAACTCCCACCATGTTGCAGGGTATCTGCAACATCTCTGTTGACTACCTCTATCTGCCATATCGCCATTTCCTATACTTCTCAGCTGACACATTCCATTGTTTGGCCAAACTCCAAAAGTTGGACATGGCCCACACAGACATCGGCGAACTACCCACTGGCCTGGTTCAGTTGAATTTCCTGAGGGAACTCAATCTCGACAAGAATAAATTTGAGCACCTTTGCAATATCAGGGCTTCTGCTTTCCCCAACCTCACCCATATTTCTCTCAGAGGGAATCTGAAAAGCTTGGATTTGGGATCTGGGTGCCTAGGGTCTTTGTCGAAACTGCAACACCTTGACTTGAGCAGATCTCAAATAGAAAGCGCCGACTGCTGCAGCAAGCCGCTCCGTGGCCTGAGCAGCTTGCAACACCTCAACCTGAGCTACAATAGCAAGCTCAGGTTCCACAATGCAGCTTTCAATGAAAGCAGTAACCTGAAGGTTCTGGACCTCACTTCCACACAGATTCTCATCAATGCTTCCCAAAGACCCTTCTGCAACCTGCATTTTTTGCAGATTCTGAACCTTTCTTACTCTAAAATTGATCTCAATATCCCACACATTTTACAAGGTCTGGAGAATCTTATTGTCTTGAAGCTGAATGGAAATAACTTTGAATCCAAGACCATCCTGGAAGACAACCTCTTTCAGCAGGCACCCAATTTGGAAGTGTTAACTTTATCTTCCTGCAAATTGTCAGCTATACAAACCAAAGCATTTTCTAGCCTCAAGAAGTTAAAACACATGGACTTGAGCCACAACAATCTTATTGCATTCAATTCAGATGCATTTTCCAGCCTCAGAAACATATATCTCAATTTTGCCAACAATAGGATCCATATTATCCCACGTGATATGTTGACTAACCTATCTGGCCAGAGTGTAATCAATTTAAGTTACAATCCACTGGAATGCACCTGTTCCAATATTGGATTATTAACTTGGTACAAGCAAAACATAGATAAAATTGAAGACTCTGAAGAGACAGTGTGCTCAGAGCCCAAATCACTAGCGGGCTCTAAGCTCCTCTCTATAAATCTGTCCTGTGGGTTTAGCACTGCTCAAGTAGTATTGATTGCCTTTGTTACGATAGCAGTAATTGTAGTGACCTTCATTTTGATCATACGTTTTTTAAGGAGAAACTACCAACAGCTTTGAGTTCCTGGAGAAAGAAAAGATATAAAAGAGTAACAAAAGCCAACAAATTAGTAGGAAGATGCTTATAAGGGAATTCCACTTTCTAATACTAATTTTTGTTCCAGTTGTTGTTGACTGTACAGGCAGTCCTTGTTTTGCATAGGAGTTCCATTCTGGACACATGCAAGCAAAAGCCCACTCTGCTCCACCCCCAACCCCTTTTCATGACATCTTTATGATGTTTTGGGGCTGTTTTCAGGTTTGGTGCAGTGTGCATGTGTGTGATCGCACATCATTCAGGTGCGCCTAAATCATGAGTTGCCTGTACTGCACTTGGTTAACTTGTTTTTGACATGAGATAACATGGCAAAGGAAATCACTGCAAGGTATGGAAATAAGAGAAAGCCAGAGTTCACTGTTCGGTCTTGCATTTTCCAGGTAGAGTTCATTCTCAGTGCCATATAGGAGGCTAAAATTGACCACCTCACAGTGCACCAGGTCAGGGTAAGGTTGACAGTATCTTAACCTGAAAAATGTAAGGCAGTTGTTCTTTCCTAGGTGATCATTTTACATTTGGCAAGGAAGACTCCTGCTAATTCCTGGACAAGAAAAAGCTTGAAAGTACTCAGAAGTACTCAGCCTAGGCTTCTATATTTGGAATAAAAATGCCACAATAATAAATAGCAAGGCAGTTCTCTTTTTCATTACTGTTTGTTTAATGTTTTCTCACAAGGGTTAAAGAGGGTAAATATTACACACACAAATAAGGGCTAAACTGGACGTGATGTGGCAGCCATATGTATTTTATTCCAGGACCTACCTAGATCCATCTATTTATTTGCTGCACAAAGGGAGTTAAACCCTCCCCATTTTACCCTGCCAAGTAGGGCCAGTTCAAGAGATGGTTGTACTTGAGTTGCCACTCCATCACTCTTCCTCCTCTACCCTGCTGGCGGTAGGGCCCCTCATGAACCTCTTTTTCTCTCTTCTTCAATTCTCTCCCCCCCCCCGCTTTGTTGCTGCTTTAGTAGAGGCCATGTTGAGTCTCTGTCTCCTCCTGCCCTGCCCTCCACCTCTCACTCTACATGTCCACAGTTCTTTGTCTGTTAGAGGAATTCAGTCTGCAGTCCTGCAAGTCTGCTTGCATTATCCCAGTTTGCTGTGGTTGCTATGTCATTCTTCTATATTTAGGCACACTGTGGGGGCACCACAGCAAACATCAGCCGTTCACCCCCACCCTGTTGAGGTTCAAAAATGGTTCATGAGGGCAGAGCAAAACAAGTGTCCTGATATTTAGCATTCTAGCCGATTATACACATACTACTTTGTGTTTCAAATAAATGTTACTTCAAGCACGTAACAGGAAAGGAAACTCAGAAATGTCAAAACAATAGTAGCAATTTTTATATAGCCAAAACCATCACCTGGCATCCAAACAGGAAAAAAACACATTTTTTGTGGCCCCTTGTCACTAGGTTATTTGGTCATTTATACCCTTTTCACACAGAGAAGGGGACTGTGGGGTTTCACTGCCAGCCTTGCCCCGAGGTTGTGCAGTTAGTTTGGCTGTCTACAGGGAAAAGTCTCTGTGTGACCACTTCTACATGCACCAGTTTCCCCAAGTGTTCTGGAACCCAGAAAGTGTGGAAAGCCCATGCATGTATGTTTTCCCCTGCTTAATGTGTGAACATGGTGGGGGGCCTGGGACCCAGGGGGCTGTTGCCCAACAGCAGCCTCTGGCTATCTGCAATGTCCTCTTATGCAATTCACATGAGAAGGGAATATGTTTTATCAGTGGAGCAAAAGGCTATGCTGTATGGACTCCTCCTTCCTTTTCTGCTTGTGCATTTATAGACCTATATTTAGTGAAAATTCAAGGAAGCCAGTTCAAGAAACAGACTCAATTCCCTTTCATGCTCAGTTTTATTTTAATGTTCTTCATAAGTATAAATAATTTTATTCAATACCCAAAGGTTAGGTCATTCTTAAAGAAAATAAGACTGCAAACACTTTATTGCACAGATCCTAACTTTTTTTTTTTAATAATTTGATAATCTACAGTAGGAAGAACTACAAAGGGTCATTCTAATATACAACCAACACATAGACTGACAAAAGAGTACACACTAAAGAGGATCTCTAACAGTTCACTGTAAGGTAAACATCAAGAACAAGGAAACTACATGAATGCAAGCTTAGGTGCCACTACATTTCTAAAATAGGCGGGAAGTATTTGGCAGAAGTGATAAAGCACTATACAAAATATACATAAAAAGATACATTTGTAAACAAGAGAGCTAGGTGTGCTTTAAGGGAAACAAGTGGAAGGTTTTTAACTTGCAAGCAAATGTAAACTATGGGATAACTCCCAGATAGAAATGTCATGATTTTGGAGTGCGTTAGTGTTTAATTATTTCAACCCCCAAAGCACAGATATAGGCTATAAATGCTAGAACCACTCACTTCAAAATGTTTCCCCCTAGTTGATTTTAATAATTCATGAGCACATGGAAAGGAAAAGAATATTCCATCGCTGTATGGAAAATTACAGGGACTTGCTGGTAATTTTATTTTCTTAACAAAGGATTTCAAAAATGAACAAAATCCCAATTGGTTTACTCATTTTTCTCAGGAAAATGCATTTAGCATACTTGTAAATACCTTACAAGCAGCCAATTCATAATTGGGTTATGCTTGGGTAAATATAGCTAGGGAAATGGTGTGCAGGGAGCGGGGGGAATGCCCTGAAGGAGGGTCAGCATTAAATGAGCTTTTGCAAGGAAATATAGAAGAAAAAAAGCACAATTGTCTTGTGGATCCCAATCATTTCAGCATACTTATCTGTGATAATCTTTCTGGAGTGTTGCTGTACATGTCCAAAAAACCAAATACTTTCCCTCCAAATTTAATCAGACAAATTCGACATATTCCACTATACACAAAATTCAAATAAGGCTTAGCAAAAAGTAAAAAGAACACCAACATTCTAGCACCAAAAAGCTCCAACAGCCCCCCTTTTTTCTACAAAAGAATGCCTTTTTCATTAAAAAAAATACATTTACTTCTTTTGCATACAAATAAAGATCACAATATGAAATGTATAGAGCTACTTAATGTACTTCAAGAAGAATGTTAAACCTAGAATGACTTGCTAAAAACAGCAAGATTAATCTACAACATAAGGCCCCAGCTAGGTATTAAAATGTTATCAGGTGTTTGATATATCATCTAGATACAATGCTGAAAAATGCCTCCCCTCACTTCACCACTGTTGTCATAAAATAGAAAAGAAAGCTGAACTGCTAAATGCTCAAATCTACCTATCATGACAAAGATGATTCATTTGTGTACATGAAAATTGTTTCAACACTTTATGCCATGCACATCTGTATGTTCTTCATACCAGAAAGGCCTGGAGAGAAATAAATGTGAGCTGAATCAAGGCAGGAGGAACTAAGCTCACAAAGGTATTGTAGTCTAAAGCCCAGGATGAGATGAAAGAACACAGGGCAATTTCATATTACCAGAAAACTATATTGTGAATGGGATGGTGTACCCATGATAATGGAGACTTCTCTTTCCCAATCATGCACATAGTCTACACAAGAGGCAGAAATTGTGTACTGAAGAGCTCCAGTTTTAACTGGCAAAGTTAGCTCACTACAATAATACCAACCTTGCTAGCTCTTAAATACAATTCTAAATTCACTGAAAGTCATTAGATTTATCACTTCTTCTATTTTAGAGTTGTGCACAGCTTTTTGAACAAGGAAAGAATGGAGCGTCTTTCTTCTCCGTTCAGACCAATATATATTTGTGGGTTCTGTCTAGGCCCAAGTTTTAGTAATTCTGCTTCTTCTTAAATTATGGCAAACTAGTGGCAAAGCAACTATCATTAAAAAGATACAGTAAACAATGCAATCAGCAGCAAAGTAGAGACACTACATTCTAAACAATACACACTAGTAAGTATTTACAGATAATTTGTCATCCCACCCGCCCACAACCTGTCTCTCAAATTGTAAAAGTATTTTTGTACAAATACAATATGGTAACAGTTTAACCGGTTACATTTGGGAAGGAATTTTGAGGGGGGAAGGAAACGAGTCCTTTCTTTACACACCCTGCTTAAGTGGCGCTGAATATTTTTTTCTGCAAGAAAATACTACACAGTGCTGAAGGTAAGACAAGACACTAGGTTTTCAACTAAGCAGTCCTATTTGCACGTCTTGCTATTGGGAGGGTTTTTTGTGAGGGCTGCTTCGGGAGGTGTCTTTTCCTCGCCTCGGCCGGGCAGAGTCTTTGTCGGCTGAAAGTGCATTGGGAGAGTCAGCTGGAGTCCCTGACTTTGGCAAATCTTTACCTACATTCGGTTTTCTCGCGGCAGAAGACTGAGGCAGACCGGGGTCTTTCCCCTTCATGTCCACAGCAGAGTGAGACCTCTCTTGGCTTTTGTGCTTCCCCGCCAAGTCTGAAGTGGGAATGTTCTCTTCCACAGGGGACGGAGTATAGTGCAAGCCCAACAGGGAAACACTTTTAGTCATTTCTGCCCTGCCGTCTGCTGAGGAAGAGCCGGCTTGCTTTTTCACTTCCCTGCTGCTCAGTGCAAGTGGCTCGGGGGACCCCAGGCTAGCCTTTGCTGAAGGCAGAACAGGGGCTTCCGGCCTAGATTCAGGGAAGCTGGGTGGGCACTCAAGCTGCTTTGAAGCTGCGCGACACGAACTCTGCAAAGCAGGGCTGGAGGAATGTTTTGCAGCATGCTGCTTGCTCCCCTCGGATAGCTGCTTTTGATTCATGTGCCCTTTTCCTTTAGTGTCTTGAAAGTTCTTCGCACCCGTGACTGCCTTTTCCGCTGCTTTTCCTCTGGCGTCACAGCTAAGAAGGGAAAGGTTAGGATCTGGCTTCCCGTGGTCAGTTTGAAAATAAAGTGCATCGGTGCATTTTCCCCCTTCAGGTTGCATTTCCGCAGAGGTGGCCTGAATGTTCGGGATCTTGTCGGCCGGTTTGCTCAGCAAGGAGCCCTCTTTTACAGCTGACGATGTCTTGGGAGGCGTGTTCTGCTTGGTACGTATACTGAATGGCTTTTGATCAGCAGGATCGTTTAAACTTGCCATCTCTTGCCTCTGAAAATGCTTAGCGCCATCTGGGGCTGCTGCTGCTTGCTTTTTATTGGAGGATTTGAGCTGTTTTTCAGGCAAGGTGCTATTGATGTGGATTGAGGGTTCTGACCCACATTCTATGACCAGATGCCTTTCTGCCTGTATTTGCTCATTATTTAGCTTTCTCCGAGAGCTTGGAGGGTGTGAAAAAGAATCCAGTGCAGACTTATTGATGTTTTTCCCCTCCTTCAAGGAGCTGGCCAAAGCATGAGGGCCAGTTTCTTTTTCTTTTACGTTTGTAGCTATTTGCTTTTGTGTCTGTTTTTCAGAATGTTTCAATTTCGAGAAACAAGTGTCAGGAACTGGTCTAGATTTAACAGTGCTATTTTCCATGTGTGTTGCAGGTCTCATATTATCTTTAATGCTGCAGCAACCAGGAGCATCCACTACACAGGGCCTGTTTAATAATTCTTTTGCAGCGGAAAGATCAGAATTGCTACCTTGTTGCCTAGAAGCAATGCTGGACTCTTTGTTACCAGCTGGAGGCTCCGCATTTTTGGGCTGCTTCTGTTCTTTTTCCCCCTGGTCCGTTTGCACGGTTACAC